AGTTCCTGAAGGAAATAAAAAGTTCACTTGCTACTCCAGTGAGCACACATATGGTAACAAGGCGAAACAGCCTTATCATTGGTATGGAGAAAGCTTCAGTGGTCTGGATAGAAGATCAAGCCAGCCACATTTCCTTAAGCCAAAGCCTAATCCACAGCAAGGTCCTAACTCTCTTTAATTCTGTGAAGGCTGAGAGAGGTGAGGAAACTACAGTAGAAAAGTTGGAAGCTCGCAGAAGTGGCTTCATGAGGTTCAAGGAAAGAGGCCATCTCCGTGACATAAAGTTGCAAGGTGAAGCAGCAAGTGCTGATGCAGAAGCTGCAGCAAGTTATCCAGAAGAGCCAGCTAAGATCATTAACAGAGGCGGCTACATGAGACAAAAGATTTTCAATGCAGACAAAACAGCCATATATTGGAAGAAGATGTCTTCTAGGACTTTCATAGCTAGAGAGAAGTCAGTTCCTGGCTTCAAACTTCAAACGATAGGTTGACTCTCATTAGGGGCTAAGGCAGCTGGTGACTTTAAGTTGGAACCAGTCAGTGTTCATTCATATACCATTCCAAAAATCCTAGGGCATTTAAGAATTATGCTAAATCTACTCTGTGCTCTGTAAATGGAACAAAGCCTGGATGACGGCACATCTGTTTACAACATGGTTTGCTGAGTATTTTAAGCCCACTGTTGAGGCCTACTGCTCAGAAAAAAAAAAGATTCCTTTCAAAATACCACTGCTCGTTGACAAGGCACCTGGTCACCAAAGAGTTCTGATAGAGAGGTACAATGACATTAATGTTATTTTCAAGCCTGCTAACAAAACATCCACTCTGCAGCCCATGGGTCGAGAAGTCATTTCAACTTTCAAGTCTTATTGTTTAAGAAATACCTTTCATCAGGCTCTAGTGCCATATATAGTGATTCCTTTGATGGATCTGGGCAAAGGTAATTGAAAATCTTCTGGAAAGGATTCACCAAGTCCGGTGCCATTAAGAACACTCATGATTTATGGGAAGAGTCAAAATATCAACATTAACAGGAGTTTGGAAGAAGCTGATTTCAACCCTAATGGATGACTTTGAGGGGTTCAAGACTACAGTGGAGGAAGTGAGTGCAGATGTGGTGGAAATAGCAAGGGAACTAGAATTAGAAGTGGAGCCTGAAGATGTGACTGAATTGCTATTACTGTCATGATAAGATTTTAATGGATGAGGAGTTGCTCCTTATGGATGAGCAAAGAAAGTGTTTTCTTGAGATGGAATCTACTCCTGGTGGAGATGCTGTGAAGACTGTTGAAATGACAGCAAAGGATTTAGAAATTACATAAACTTAGTTGATAAAGCAGTGTGGGGTTTGAGAGAATTGACTCCAATTTCAAAAGAAGTTCTGTGGGCGAATATCAAATAGCATTTAAATGCTACAGAGAAATTGTGAAAAGAAGAGTCAATCAATGTGGCAAATTCATCGTTGTCTTATTTTAAGAACTTGCCACAGCCACGTCAACCTTCAGCACCCACCACCCTGATCAGTCAGGGGCCACCAACATTGAGGCAGGACCCTCCACCAGGAAAAAGGATTACAACTCACTGAAAGCTAAGATGATGGTTAGCATTTTTTAGCAATAAAGCATTTTTTAATTAAGATATGTATGTTTTTAGACATAATGCTGCTGCACACTTAACAGACTACAGTATTATAATGTAAACATTTATTTGCACTGGGGAACCAGAAGATTCACTTGACTCACTTTATTGCAGTATTCCCTTTATTGCAGTGGTGTGGAATTGAACCTACAATATCTACAAGGTAGGCCTGTATTATTTATTTTTTGTTTATTTTTGAGAGAGGAGACAGAGCATTAGTAGGGGAGGGACCAAGAGACAGGGAGACACAGAATCTGAAGCAGGCTCCAGGCTCTCAGATGTCAGCACGGAGCCCAACACAGAGCTCAAACTCACCGCGACATCCTGAGCTGAAGTCAGACACCCAATCGACCGAGCTACCCAGGAGTCCCGGTAGGCCTGTATTATTAACTATAGTTGCCACACTGTGCATTACTTCCCCATGACTCAATAAATGGAAATTTGTATCTTTTGACTCCCTTCAGCCGTTTCACCCACCCCTTCCCCATCCTGACCACCAGTGTGTTACCTGTTTTCTATGAGCATGGTTTTTGGAGTTTTTTTTTTTTTTTTTTTTTTTTTTTTAAGATTCTACTTAGAAGTGGATATTTCATATGGTATTTGTCTTTCTGACTTTGCTCTCAAGGCCTATCCATGTCACAAATGGCAGTATTTCATTTTTTATGGTTGAATAATGTGTGTGTGTATGTGTGTGTTTGTGTACGTGTACATGTATGTGTACACAGATACCACATTTTCTTTATCCGTTTATCCACTGATGTACACTCAGGTTGTTTCCAGATCTTGGCTATTGTAAATAATGCTCTAGTGAAGAAGGGGTGCATTTATCTTTTCAAGTTAGTCTTTTCATTTTCTTTGTTAAAATACCCAGAAGTGCAATTGAACTATACATTGGTTCTATTTTTAAATCTTTGAGGAAACTTCATACCATTTTCCACTGTGGCTGCACCAATTTGCTTCCTACCAACATAGTACAAGGAGTCCCTTTTCTCCACATTCTCCCCGTTGTTTTTTTTTTTTTTTAATGTTTTTATTTATTTTTAAGACGGAGACAGCATGAGCAGGGGAGGGGCAGAGAGAGAGGGAGACACAGAATCCAAAGTAGGCTCCAGGCTCTGAGCTGTCAGCACAGAGCCTGACACAGGGCTCGAACTCACGGATTGTGATAGCATGACCTGAGCTGAAGTCAGATGCTTAACCGACTGAGCCACCCCGGTGCCCCCTGTCTTTTTGATAATAGCCATTCTCACTGTGGTTTTGATTTGCATTTCCCTGATGATCAGGGATACTGAGCATCGATGCATCTAGCTAGCTGTTGGCTATCTGTATGTCTTTGGAAAAATGTCTGTTCAAATCCTTTGCCCATTTTTCAATCGGGTTTGGTTTTTTCTTCTGCTGGTATAGGAATTTTTACATATTTTGGATTGACCCTTATCAGATATGATTTGCAAATACTTTCTTCCACTCGTTAGGTTGCCTTTTCATTTTGTTGGTTTCCTTTGTGCACAAACTTTTTATTTTAATGTAGTCCCACTTTTCATTTTTGCGTTTGGTGTCACATTCAGAAAATCACCAAGACTGATGTCAAGGAGTTTATTGCCTACTGGTTTCATGTCTTATATTCAACTCTTTAATCCATTTTGAGCTAACTTTTGTGTATGGTGTAAGATAAGTGACCTAATTTTCCCAACAGCAATTATTGAATACACTGTCTTTTCTTGATTATATATTCTTGTCTCCTTTGTCGTAAATTAACTGACCATACATTCATTGGTTTATTTCTAGGCTATTCTGTGCCATTAATCTAGGTCTGTATTTATGCCAATACTCGATTACTATAGCTTTGTAATAATATAGTTTGAAATTAAGGAGCATGAGGCCTCCAGCTTTGTTCTTTCTCAAGATTGTGTTGGCTGTTTGGAGCCTTTCGGGGTCCCATACAAATTTTAGGGGTGTTTTTTAAAAATGCCATTGAAATTTTGAGAGATTGCATTGAATCTGTAGGTTGCTTTGGGTAGTGTGAACATTTTAACAATATTCGCCCAATCCCTAAGCATGGAGTAGCTTTCCATTGATTTGTCTGCAGTTTCATTTATGTCAGTTTTCAGTGTACAGGTCTTTCATGTTTTTGTTTAAAAATCCCTGGGTATTTTGTTTTTGATGCCGTTTTATAAATGGGACTATTTTAATTTCTCTTTCTGGTAGTTATTAGTGTACAGAAATGCAAGATTCCTGTGTATTGATTTTGTGTTCTGCAACTTTACTGAATTTATTAGTTCCAACAGTTTTTTGGTCTTTGGGGTTTTCTATATGTCATTTTATCTGCAAAAACTGACAATTTGGGTGCCTTTTGCTTGTCTAATTGCTCTGGCTAGGACTTCCAATACTATGTTAACATTTAAAATTGGACATAAAAAGCAAAGTGGTCCAAAGAAAGAAGTTTGAAACTAAATGTTGAACACTCTATTGAGTCCATGGACCGAACTCCCTCCTTTTTATGAAACCCCATGTGGGGGATGCAGGTTATCAGGAACAATTCTAAGTTACTACAGCTTTGTCACAAACCACCCTAAAAACTTAAGAGGTTCAAAGAGTAATCATTTCTCTCTCGGATTCTGTGGACTAGGAATTTAGGAAAGGCTCTACTTGGCAGTTCCGACTCCAGGTATTGGATGTATTTGCATTTACAGCGGCTAGAGCTGGGCTAGCGGGAAGTTAGAACACGAGGGACTGGCCAGACGTTTCTGCTTGTAGTTTCAGGATCTCTCTGTGTGGGCTGGTCTGGGCTTCCTCACAGAATTGGCTTCCGGGTGACTCAAGGACTTACCAGCCTGTGTAGCTTTGCGTGTTCCAACAGACCAGCTGTAAGCTGTGTTGCCTTTGATCTAGCTTTGGAAGTCACAGAGCAGTCCTTTTGTCGTGTCAACCAGTCACCTCTTGATCTGGGGAATGTCAGACTTTATGGATCTTTTACAACCGCCACATCTCCCCTCAGAAAGCCCATCTGGTGTGAGAGAGGCAAGACCAGCCTAGATACTGCCACCAGGAGAATACCAAAAGGTAAGCTGCCCCACGTAGAAGGCCAGGGGAGCTCACCGAGGGGAGTAAGGGAAAGCATTTTGGAGGCGACCTTTGAGCTGGTTCTTAAGATGGATTTTGACATTTTGAATGGCATTAGCAAGGTCCAGAAGTAATAAATGGTTGAACAGCGAGTGATTACTTGACTGCAATCAAAAGTGGCTGAAGGAGGAGTGAGCAGAGGCCAGAAATGTGAGCCAGATCAAGGAATGCCCAACCTAAGCACTTCGAGAGAGGCGGGGACATGGGCAGAAAAGTAATGAAGGTTCCTCTCCCCTCCAGATACAATTACCACGGGAGAGATGGTGAACTTTCCTTCTTGGCAATATCTACTACCCCTCCTGGGTGGTATTACAGGAGTTTACAGCAGTCTCCAACTTGGAAATAGTATCAGGTAACTATAAGCATGTATTTCTGATTTGGCTTTATTAGTTGCTTGAACTATCACCTAAAATGTGACAGGCTGAAAGGCATATAACACGTGTTGAAGCCTGAATGGAGTACACAGTCTCTTAGTGCTACCGGTCGTGTAGATCAGTATGGTCCAGAACTTTCTGTGATGATGGCTGGGATGCTACCTAACCACAGGCAGCCATTAAGCATATGAAATCTAGGGCTGGAAATGTTATTTTAATTAATTTAAGCACACGGGCCTAGTGTGCTGGTTAGCCAGGCCTACATGAAGGGTTTGGCAAGTGCAAGAGTGGAGTCCTAGGGCTGGCACAGACCCCAATGTGTGCTGTGGAAATTCAGAGTAACAGGGCTAGCCACAAAGTAATGCCATCCTGATTCAGGTTTACTGGGTCAATCCGATGGAATAATATATACCCCAGAGAGACCCCTGGTGAAAAATACTACCCAAGCCCCTAGAGTAGGGGACAGTGACAAGAGCCGGCCGGGAAAAATATCTAGGTTGGTAAGGAGATTCACAGCTCTCTCTCTGGGGAGCAATGGGAGGTTAATTTTCAGCCACGGGACTCCCTTTTTGCAAATAGAAACTTCCACAGCATCCTACTACATACAGATGGCAGTAACTTGGAGCTCTTTCAGTTCAGAGCGGGAATGGACACTCCGTGGCTGTGCCTCCTCAGTGCTAGAAGTGATAAAAGGAAATCCATCATCCTTTCCAATCTTACTCCAACGTGCAGTGTATCTTGAGGTCAATAATGAGACTTCATGGTTGTTTCTGAAACAAATTTATTCTCAGAATAATGCACAAAAGTAGAGGTTGAGGCTACCTTTGGGAGGCTTCCTCCCCCTCCTCTCTGAATGCCAGGGAGAACACAGTTGAGGGAAACATGCAATCACAAACAATGATCAACTCTAAAGACAAAAAGGTTTGGTCCAAAAGAACTCAACATAATTAATCCAATTACTGTGAACAGCTTCACTGAGCAGGATTAAGATATTGCAGACGTAGTGTTTCCACAGGGTGGCTCTTCAGTGCACCAGGGGGGCCTGCTTGAGGGAGATGAGGACAGAGCGCATGCGGGAGACGTCTTTGGCCTGCTTGCTGGACTTGGGGTTAAAGTCACACAGCCGGGCCACCCGTTCCCACTCAGTGCCTGGGGACGACTCGTCTATGTCATTTACAAAGGCTTCTTCTGCTGCCCTGGAAGCAATAATGAAAGATGTTGGTTTAATGTAGAACCCCTTGTGAGCTACCTGGTGGCTGCCTCTTCATGCCTGACTGAATGGCATCTGCTTTTCCAAAGAGTAACAGCCCCTGCCTGGCTCGGGTCAGATTCAGGAGCAGACACGTGGCCAGTTCTCCCAGGCACAGGGGCCGGGACTGCTGTGTAAAATGTTGGAATACAGGTGTTTGGTGCAGGGCTCACTCTCTCTCTGTCTCTGTTGACACAGAGCATTAAAAAAGCAAGTCCTTGGCCAGCTATGCACTGCCTTCATTAACAGGAGCAAAGCAGCAGGCTGGTCAAGAATGTGAACAGTGGTTTATGTTGGGCTCTACTGAGTTTCAAGTAAATTCAGAGACTTCTAAAAAGCCCACCGGTCACTGCACGATAGCCTCTGGATTTATCCCTAAGACCGGAGAGAAACAGGGCAGATCAAAAGGAATTCAAGACAAAGCTCCCATGCGAGCAGGCACTAGAGAGACTTAAAGCCATTCTGGAAGGGGGTTTGTTAGGACATTGTCCAGTTCAGCTCAAAGTTGGCCATTTTCCCTCCAGCCGGGTGCCTTGGGCCACTCAGGGCACTCTCTGGAAGGGGTGGGCATCTGATGGCTGAACAGCCAATCAATGTCAGTTGCTTTTTGCTAGGATGCTGCTCCAACGATCTTTCACGTCAAGGTCAGCCCACCCCCCAGTTGGGAACTGGTGGGAGCTACAGCCTGAAAGGACAGCGGAAGGAGGAGGGAAGACACACTATATTCATCTACTCCGACAAGCATCACGGGCAAAGCAAAAGCAATGGAGATGACTGGTCTGTGGGGACGGGGGGTGGCACTCTCACAGGGATGGCCGTGGCAGACACTGCTGAAGCCCAGAGCCACTACAACACTGCGACTTCATGGCACACACAGTTAGGGGCAGTGAGAAAGGTTTACTTAACTGTTCTAGGCTGTAGCAAGGATGGTTTATGTTTGTGCTTAAAGGTGAAGAGAAGAAAAGAAACAAGGAGAGAAACTTTAGGTCAGATATAGAAAATGAGAATGAGCTCAATGCAGATGGTCAGTAAGCTAGACATGCCCTTGCCACTCTAGCTACACTTGGGAACGTGCAGCTGGCTTTGCTGGGCCACCCTGCTGCCCAGCAAACCCAGACTCGACCTTTCCAGTCTCCATTTCTACTCCAGAGAGAATGTGCAAAAAATCAATCCAACACCACCTGTAAGTCCAGCATTTCACAAATCTCATTGCAAATGCATCTGGGGACCCAGGGAACCCCGCTCTGTATTCTAAAGGGATGAACGTGTAAAGGTCACAGGCCCTAAGAGGCTCTACAGCCATGAGCCTATTGTCCACCCTTCTACCCTCATCTCCCTTGTATCAAAAGCTAGTCCTAATTCTTAAGGAAACAGCAATACTGCTCTGAAAACAAGAATCCTTAAGTACTTTTCCAGAGAAGATGTAGTTTTCTTTGGAAGAAGAAACCACAGTGGCCCACACCAGACAGCTTTGGCCATCTGGACCTTAAAAAGCTTGGGGCCTCTCTGTGCCACACTAGGGGGATAGGGCATCAGAAGGTGGCCACTAAACAATTTCCAACATATAAAACCATAGAGAAATAATTACAGAGCTCCCCCCTTACCCAATGAGACAACCTCCTCTGCTCTGGACTCTGCTGCCCCAAGGGAGAAGCAAACCAACCCCACATGTCGTTCTATAGAATTAAATGTAGGAAATCCTGCCCCCCCCCCCCCCCCCCCAATAGCTCCCAACCACAGAGCTTCCACCTGTTCCAGGTGGGGACACGTCCCGTCCCCACCTAGGGCAGGTAGGTAGCAAGAAGTTAGAGCCCACCCCCATCCCACAGCCTTCCCAGACAAGGTCACAAATGACCCACATTTTAAAAGGGAATCTGCTTCCTTCTCTCCAAAACCCTGGATGTGCAAAAGGGCTATCGGAGTTAAAGGGAGTCACGATTCTGCAAGACAAATCGATGGGTCATACCCCCAACCTTATAACTCTTAGGCAATCCCCAGAGTGCCAATCTGAAATAATTCAGAAAGCAAAGCAACTTGTGACATAACAGGAACATTAACTCTAAACAAAAAGTAGAATCAAAACAAGAAAAGGAATTAGTTTTGCAACATACACATAACCAATCACGTCAGCGAAGGGTTGTTTGTAGAAAGCTTCATCTGCCACCCTAGACAGCAAGAGGTCCAAAAGGCAGGCAAGCAGGCAGGAAAAAAGAGAGAACATTGAGAGGCAGAAACATCTCAAATCCACAGTAGAGGCATGACTGTGCTCCAGGGCGCTGCTCCCAAGGCTCCGTCCTCACCCAGCAAGGCTTCAAGTGCTGGAGACCAGCAGGCAAGGTCCTCCGCTGGCCTTCCCCAAGGGCGGGTTCTCCCAAGGGAGCCCTGCCAACTCCTTCCCCACCTTCTCCTGACAACGGCGAGCCTTTCTCAGCGCCCGCTTCCAGGTAAGCCCTTTTAGAGACTCCGAATCCATCCGATCCAATCCTCAACCCCAACGACCTAGGAGAACACTAGGACGTGGTCTCACCAACACTTTACAGATCAGGTAACAGGAGGCCTAGAGATGAAGCAACCTGCTCAACCCCAGGCGGCAGAACTCGGAAGCAGGCCGGCCTGGCTCTCTGCACTGTGCAGTAAGGCTTCTTCCCTGCTGGCGGATGACCGGGAAGCCACGCCGCCTTCCCGTCAGCCTCAGGGAGCCTCGCTAGGCATGAACGCTGCCAGCTGCCCGACACCAAACACGCTAGGCCCCAAAGCCACTGTCCAACTACTGCTTGTGAACCACCCTGGCTCAATGGGATCAGTTTTCAGTATTCTGGGAACAGATGAGGAAAAAGTTGCCGGACACAAGTGGTCTGGCGGAAAGGACTGCAGCCCAGGGTCCTGGCTCTGGCACCGTCTTCCTGTGTGTCCCCAAATAAGCTGGTTCGTCCGCTCAGTCCAGAAACCCCAACTTCCCTTCCCCTCTCACTCACACCAGGAATGGATCAAAGTGGCAGGGCTCTGTGGGACAGAAAGGGAAGGGGGGCACGCTGGGTGGAGGAGTTTACACCCCCACAGACAGGCTGGCTTATTTAGACTTTGTTGCCCCAGGCTGAATCCCTGGGCCCAGCCAGCCCACCCCATCTATTGTGGGTGGGCAGGGAACCTCCCTGCGGAAATCTTACCCTGTCCTTTGCCAGGCTGGTTTTGGGGCACAGGAGCGGGAGGGGCATTTTGAAGGAAAATCGTGCCTGTTTATTAACCTAGGGTCACTTATTTATTTAAAGGGAAATTCTAGTAATTTTATTTCAGTTTATTTTTAGACGCACCCACAGCCTGCCTTCTTTCCCATTTTGGTTTATACATAGGAGGTGTTTTGTGGAAATGTGATTGTAACTCTCAGTGAGTCAGCAGGAAAACAGAGTTGTTTGTGGGCAGAATGAGTGGGCGGGAAAGGAAAGGCCAGACAGCTTGTAAGCCCATAATCCTTTTAGTTTACACAAAGGGCTAAACCTAATCAATTTCAGTTTGTGCTTACTCCTACTGGAAGAAAATAAAGGTTTAGTGACTCCAGTGGAGGCATCACTAAGACAACAAAAGCCTGAATGCCAGGCTTCTGTTCCTTTGCAGTTAGCCCCAAGACTAAAGAGCTTGTTAGTGACAGCAGAGCCCCATCCGGGTCGGGTTACAGACAAGCAGGACAAATGGAAAATCATCATCTAAGTGGCCTGTTTGTTCTTCACCCACCAGACAGAAGGGCCTGAAAGCAGCAATCCTCATGGAAGCCTGTGGGAAAGGGGGCAGGGGGAGGGAGGAGGAATGCCTTTGGGCCTGACCACAGGGTGCTCAAGAGGTGACCCACATCAATAGCCCCAACGGGGCATGGGAAAAATGTCTGCCCGCTTTTAGAAGTCTTGAAAGAGGGGAAAAGTTAGCACCAGAGACCCCTGTAAAAGGGGAAATGTTTCTGTCCGTTTGGAAGGGAACATGGTCTGCGGCTGGTCTGGAGTACACACTGTCCTGACTGGCTCCCGTGGAGGAGGAATTTGTTTCCACAGGCTGTCACTAATAATTGATGGCTCTTGTGCAGTGGCATCTGCACCCTGAGTTGGGATAAAAGCAGGGAGATGCAATCTGAGGACTGACACCAGTCTACAGATGCAGTGAAGACAAGATCTGCGGTCATCTGCCCAGCACCACGCCTGGGCACCTAGAAGGTTTTAGTTTGGGGCACCTAGAAGTCAGGAGGCCTGACGATACACTCAAATATAGGCCCTTGCTACCCACCGCATCTCTTCTTTCAAACTACTCTACCTATCTTTGTGTTCCCCCTTAAAAATCCAGCTGCTACAAAAGTCATCCAGAGAGAAGGGCACATGCTTGAAACGAACACTTCATTTTCTCAAAATACTCACTCTTCACCTACGAACAGAGTTCCTTTACATATATAAATGGGACTTAGTCCCACAGGATGCTGTTTAGAGAATCAAACACGGAGGGGGAGTGGTCAACAATGTCACAATCTCGAGGAGGGGGTGTGTGCCATTGGAAGAAGTTCCCCACGGTGGCTCTAAACGGCTCCCATGCTAGTCCATGAAAACTAACGAGTAAGATGTAAAAACCACCCCTTCTATCCTGGAACCCTGGTGACAACGGCTCACGTGCCTCCAGTTTTACACACTCAGAGTCTGCCCTGCACTTCGTGACCTGGTTTTGAAACAACTACACATTCTCCAGGAGTGGCAAGTTTAAGTCTTTTCCCCTCTCTGGAACTTGGGAAGTTCACCTATGACATCATCCAACCCGACATTCTACGATTCTAAGAAAGGTACCAAAGCCCTAAACCGATGCCTGGAGGGACTAAACCTTAGAGACTGAGCTCCTGAAAACAGGAGTGCTTACTCCAAGGATAACTGATACTGTATACAGACAATCCCTTTCTTTCCAGAAGGGCTACAGTTTAGCAAAACTGGCCTGAAAAAATTTCCGCAATTAGAAGCCTATTCCCACCATAATTTTTTAAGTCTGAGAATCTGTATGTCAACTTGTTTACACATCAGGGACCCTGAACAGGGAGGGTCAGCCCGGTTTTACCAAGTACTTCAGGGCAGACGGACTCCCGGGCAACTTGCTAGAATAAATGGGGCCTCACACGGTACTTGCACAAAGAACTCGCTCCTCTCCCTTTAGAGATGTGAACTTGTATCTGTGGTAAATCATCTGGAATGAGCACAGAATAAAGCAGCCTGGACCTGTCAGCACTTCAAAATGACCACAAGCTCAGGAGAAGCCCTGGTAGTTAATGCTACCCTGAGCAACTCAATGTGAAGACCAGAGGGCAGTCCCCACCGTATTAGAACTTCACTGGAACCTGAGAAGCATTCCTAGAAAATACCTCCCCACAGGAAGGGGGCCAGGACTAGGCTCCCATTTGGCATTTAAGACACAGCCAACAGAACCAACTATGGCCAACAAGAGAAAGGCAGCCGAAGCCTACCGCACACAACGGTCCATCTGTTCTGCTGTAGGTGCCCACGATGGCACAGGCTGGCTGGCAAAGCGGTCTGCTCCCTCTTTTCTGGCAGATTTCCAGCAAGAAGCTGCCAGAGACCAAAGCACTTAAACCAACTTCTGCCTCTGAGGCAGGAACCTAAGAAGGCGCTTTACCCTGAAAATTACAACTATCCCCAGGCTCAGTCTAGCCTCTCTTTCCACTGAGGTAGTGAAGCGACCGTCTGAGAGCTGGGCTCGGGATGCAGCAGGAAGGCGAGCCACTGGCCTACATCAAGGCCAGCAGTGCTGCCTCCACCTCTCTGAGCTACTTCCAAGCAGACTGAGCATGGAGACCACAGCTCCTGCTCGGCGGGGAGAGGAGGAGGCGCTTAGTTTCTCCCTCAACTTTAGGGAGTACATCATAAAGAGCACTTTCAAAAGGTCAATCTTAGGTCAATTTTTTCAGATGTACGCGGAGGACCCTTCGTTCTCAAGTCACCGTGTCGGAACATCCCTGGCTACTGAATTACAAAGCACATTTCCCTGCTAACGGGCCCCTCTGCCTAGCAGCTTTCAGAGAGCAAGGCTGTATTTAGGGGCTGCAACATGACCAAGTCTATAATCCCCAAAGTACTGAGATCCTGGTATATTCATAACGCAGCCCTTCATTTCAGGGTTACGTTTCTGCACGTGGACTTAATCCATGACATAACTTTCCCTTTTGCTGCTTCATACCGATACAAGCAACACATATTAACCAAACTCTTAGCTGAAGAGCTAAATCCACTACAACTGGGATGGCTAAAGGACAGGCTGGATTAAGCTCATGAGACCCGAGAGACGTGCAACCTTTATGTTTCAAGTACTTTTTCCAAAACCTGCAAATACATTTCACACTAAAAGAGGCAGCACGTGAGAACTACATTGGCCACTGGAAATGAATTTGATTCCATCCTGGAAAGCAAGCAGTGCTGGCAGCACCGGGGACTGACCTGTTATTTGCTTTTGTTTTCTGTAGCTGCTCGTCCTGCCTCGCATACCACTCTTCTAGCTCCTTTATTGCTTTTTCTTTCCACTCTGCTTCTTGCTTCCGAGAATTGGCATCTTTGAAGGGAAGGAAAAGAAATAAAATGAGGCGAAACACAAATCGAAGTCTGCTCCATAAATTTTTTAGTCTTATTAAAACTGCTGTGTGCTGGCGGGAGACTAGGCAGGAGGGAAGACAAAATTCTGTTTTCCCTGTTTGTACATCCAGTCTCTGATCTCAGGGATTCCATTCAAGGGGTTTCATATTTTATCTCAATCCACTGACATTAGTGGATTCACTAATTTTGGGATTTCTTTTGGGGGTGGGGTAGGGGAGGAATTCTTTCTTTCTTTCTATTTTTTGTTTAATGTTTATTTATTTTTGAGACAGAGCATGAACGGGGGAGGGTCAGAGAGAGGGGGAGACACAGAATCTGAAACAGGCTCCAGGCTCTGAGCTGTCAGCACAGAGCCCAACGCAGGGCTCAAACTCACGGACCGCGAGATCATGACCTGAGCTGAAGTTGGACGCTTAACCAACTGAGCCACCCAGGGGCCCCAGGAATACTTTCTTTTTAAAAAAATTTTTTTTTTCAACGTTTATTTATTTTTGGGACAGAGAGAGACAGAGCATGAACTCACGGACCGCGAGATCGTGACCTGGCTGAAGTCGGACGCTTAACCGACTGCGCCACCCAGGCGCCCCCAGGAATACTTTCTTAATAGAAAAAAGCCTTTGGGGGCACCAACCAGGGAAAAAACAACTATGGACCATTCTTTAATAATGCTGTCAATATCAGTTCAGGGTGGACAATTAATATTACATCATCTAACAACATCTTCTCCCAAACTATATTTAACAGCCTAGGTTTGACAACCAATGGTTTTGTAAAACATAAGGTGGCACTCTCTTTTAACTAAAAATGGTAGAAACACCTCTATAAAGCAGGGAGCTGTTGTTAAAATTACCAGAGGTAGAGAAGATTCAGGAATATAGGCGGTAGAATATAGATGGTAAATGTTGAGGGGGACCACAAAATAGCTATTCCTGCTTGTATTGCAGAGTGAGTCTGTGGCAGAGCTAAGACAGAAGTAAAAAAGAAACTAATGGAGATTGCTGGGGGTTGAGGTGGGGTAGGGGATCACTAACAGTTATCCAAAAGGTTCTAGAAATTAGAAGACGCAAACTTAGGTTTGCCATACTGGATTCTCAAACATTAAGTTTCTCAGCTAAGTATTCACTAAGACATTTAGCTAAAAAGACCAAGTCAGTAGAGAGCGGGAGACAGAAATGCAGGTCACATGCAGCTGGCATCTGAAGTTACTCTGAGAGTTCACTTTTAAACATGTTCTTAAGGAAATACTCTCTGGCAGGTGTTTTTATTTAAAAGAATTTTTTTTTAAGTTTATTTATCTTTGAGAGAGAAGACAACAAGTGCGCACACACGAGTGGGGGAAAGGGCAAAGAAAGAGACAGGGAGAGAGAATCCCAAGCAGGCTCTGCACCGTCAGCAAAGAGCCCAATGTGGGGCTTGAACTCACGAACCGTGATCATGACCTGAGCTGAAGTTGGATGCTTAAGCGACTGAGCCACCCAAGTGCCTGTCGCAGGTGTTTTGTAATACACCCCTCATTTAATCTTTATAACAATCCCAAGAAGGTAAACTCTAGACCCATGCTCAGCACTGAGACAAACTATAGCTCAGAAAGTTTGAGTAACTTTTCCTAAAGGTTAAAGTCAGTGGCAGAGCTAAGATTCAAACCCAGATCTGCCTCTAAAGCTTACACGTTCTTACTTCATTAAGCTGCGTCCAAAGGGAAGGATGGCAAGGAAAGCAAGCCTAGAAAAAAAATCACAAGATGTGACTAGAAGGTGCTCACCAGTGCTCCAGAAAAGAGTGGACAGCACAGAGCCAGAGCCCGACCTGTAAGTAGCATCCTCGAGGAGGTTACAAAGCAGCGGTGGTGGCCAGTCACCCCCTGAAGGAAAGAAACTGAGCATTTGGGAGCATTTTTGGGGCCTTTGCAAGCACATTTTATAGTAACAACCTACAGAAAAGGCTGTGTCTGTAACTACTAGAAATAGCCTACTGGCACCTAAAAACTCTCCAAAAGTTTCGGATTCTAAAGCAGCTGTTAGCCTGTAGCCTGTCGTGTAAGTGAAATGGAGAACGCCACGATGCGACGGGAAATGCTGTGAGCTGGCAGTGCGTGTGGACAAGAAACCAAAGAGTACCAAGGTTAAAATTGAAGGTCACCTTTTCAAGAGTGGTGAAATCACTTCTAAAACATTACTTTTTGACTGCAGAGTATTTGCCTTTGTGTGTAGTCTAATGATGATTTTTTTTAAGTTATTTCTCTGAAAAATTAAATAAAAATTGTGATCTGCAGACTGTAGTCGCTGCATAAAACCACCTCTTTAAATCATCTACTTGCTTTTACAGATTTATGAAGGGACACTAGCAATAAGAATTTAGAATTCTTAAATGCTTAGTACAACAGGGCAGAGATCTAAGCTGCAATACAATCTCTGCATCTGGGCAGGAGAAGAGGGAGGGAAGGATGAAGAGTCCCCTTAGAGAGCAGGGCACATGGACGGCTGTCTTCTCTGGCAATCCCTATTACTGCTCATGGAAAGGAAAATTATTTGAGGACACAGCCAACAGCTAAGCTGAAAACGACTGACATGGATTCTCTATTTTTAGCATCTGTGCTTTCTCACAGTTCTTGCAAGGAAAAAAAAAAACAAAACAAAACTGAAAAAACACCTAAGGTTCACAGACCAATTTAATTCAGCTGCAAAGCCACATGTTTGACTTCCTTCATAAAAACATCTTAAGGGGCCACCTGGGCGGCTCAGTCGGTTAGGCATCCAACTTTGGCTCAGGTCATGATCTCACAGTTCGTGGGTTCGAGCCGCGCGTCGGGCTTTATGCTGACAGCTTGGGGCCTGGAGCCTACTTCAGATTCTGTGTCTCCCTCTCTCTCTGCTCCTCCCTTGCTCACCCTGTCTCTCTCTCAACAATAAATAAAGATTAAAAAAAAATTTTTTTTTTTAAAAGCATCTTAAGAAAACTACAATTCACTGAACATTCCCAAGGTGCCCAATCTGGTAACTGAAAAAACGCCATTCTTCCAGACACCAAAAGTGTACTCCCTCCATGGAAGACAACTCTACTAAACTTTGGGGAAAGGGAAAAGATAAGTTGGGTTCTGAAGCGTGAAAAATACTAATACCAGCTAAGTCTTGCCTCTCAGCTTACTCAGAAGCAGCAGCCAGGACCAAGGCTGCCGGCACCACGAGGACAATTTTCATCTTATCCGATGCAGGAGCTACTAGCTACACGTGGCTGTTAAAATTTAAAATTCGGCTGCTCAGTCACACGAGTCACATTTCCCGTGCTTAACAGCCACATGTCGCTAGTGGCTACCATCACTGGAGAGCAGAGATAACGTAGTATTTCCATCATCAAAGAAATTACTACTGGATAGTGCCATAAAGGTTCAAATAGAGGTGTGTCCTTTGATCTCAAAGTCACATAAATTGGACTGGAGAAATAACAGACTCGGTCCTACTTCCAGGTGTCAACTACCCCAACCGAAGAATAGGACTCACGTGTTTACTAATTCAGTGGTTCCCAAGAAAGAATAACACTGACATTGTGGGTACACAGAAGAACATCGTTATTTCTAGATACACAATATTTAGGCATAAAATACGTGACGTATCTGAAAGTGGACCAGAAATGTGTGTGTATAAAACATACACACACACACACATTACATTTATATAAAGATAACCCAATATGACAAAATGTTAATTAGTGAATCTAGGGGGTACACACAAGTTCATTTTACTCTTCTTTCAACTATTCTGTTTGAAATTTTAATGAAAAGTTGAGAAGACTGCCCCATGGCTTTATGTCCACACTGTGCCATACCTCTGCAACTCCCAAGTACAGATACCAAGCCTCCCAATCCTGACCAAAAGCGACACTCCATACACAGATCTTCACCGAAGGCCAGGCCAGCTGGCACTGATCTTGGGCTGGGCCTGCCTGGTGGGATAGTGTTCACTAAATGCAATGTGACTAAGGGACAGATGGGTCTGGACTATGAAACAGGGCAGACTTGAGCTGAATTGTGACTCCACCACTTCTTAGCTAAGTGACTCAAAAACTTATCCTGGGATTCTCCCATTCCTCACCTACCTACAGAGGTAAAAACGTACCTTACAGAGCTATCAGAACAGGAAAACAAAATTGTACATGTTTCCTACAATTTACATTTTCCTCTTAAAGCATTACCTTAAATTCAGCCTTCAAATGATAAATGGACTCTGGAGTCTCTCACATGGACAGGATACCTACAAGTTTATACAACACCCTTATAAATACCACCCCGGACTACCCTTGGGGTTGGTAACACTGATCTTATTCCACAGAGGAAGTAACAGACACTGGAAGGTTTGAGCAACCAAGTGCCCAGAGCTGGTAAGAGTTAAGCCTGGGCCTTGAACCTAGTCTTTTACTCCAAGCTCAGGACTCTTTCCACAGCACTGCTCTGCTCTTCCTGAGAGGATGCACTCGGTGGCCAGTGGCGACTCTCCGAGCTGCCCTAATCCTCACACAATGGCCTGTGATCAAGCGTCTCCATGCCATGCGGGTGGCCTTGGGGCCTTTATTTAGGTTGAAAAAGAGATCTTCCCAAATACGAGACAAGGACATTATGGCTAATTCTAGTTAAAAAGGGTAAGAGTCAAGGTCAACTATCACACTGAAAACAGACACCCAAGGACGTAAAGGGATTCCTTACCAAGGGCTTCCAAGCGTTCCGTTTGCTCTTCTCTCCACTTACGGATACTTTCAGGCTCTGACTGCAAGCGATCCACTTGTGAAATAGCTGCATAACTGTCTGTTGGGCCATTACTCTCCTTAACACAAAACACAATTGTGTTCTATCAGTACCAGACGTTCCTTCCTGAAACACACTTCATCCGTGGCAGAACCCCTGGTTATGTACAGCACGGAGGCTGTTGTAAAATGTTAAAGGATTACCTTTAAAAGCAACAACACAACCTCACGTGCCAATAGGGAGCTTTCAACATTACTGCACAGAATCCTTACAATCTACAAGGGAGGTAGTTTTTATCCTACCTGTTAATAAATGGGATGTGAGTGGGAGAGAGGAAAATTGGGGAGGCGGGTAATAATGGACTTCCTAGGAAACAGTGTTAACGGTTTTTGTTTCCCCACTTGACACACAACTTCTGTGGAATCTTCAAAGTAACAAAGGTAAATACACAGCCCAGAAAGGCCTAGAACCTAAGGCTTCTAAATGCCATTATACAATGTAGGAAAAAGATCACTTAATGCCACCTAACCAAAATGTGAGAACTCTGGGTAAAAGAGTCCAAAAGAAAACGTGCAGTCCCTACAGTCACACCAAAGAAAAGAATAAAAAGGCAAGCAAATATGAGTCACAAGTGGGGGGTAGGGGGGCAGGTTCTTTTACAGTGGCTAAGGTCTGACAGCTGATACACTGATAAAGACTCAAACAGAATTTAATCTTTAAGAGATTTATCTTTTAGATTTTTCACCTGTTGAACTAGGAAGTAAATTCCAAATTAACCTAACCAGACCATAAAGGATGGAAGGGGAGTTACTTAAAATATTAGTAACTAAAAAACAAACAAACAAAACTTAGTAACACTTTCCACGTGTCAGGCACATAAACGCTTTATCCCCCAAGCAAAGTTTTTCTTCCCATTTCACAGCTGGAGAACTGAGACACAGAACTGACATGTCCACTTCACAGCCAGTTAGGGACAGAGCCAGAATCTGAACGCTGTTGTGTCTCACTCTAAGGATTAAGCTCTAAACCAGGGACTGGAAACTAGAGTCCGTGCCAGCTGCCTGTTTTCGTAATTACATTTTACTGGAACACAGCCGTGCCCATTCACTTATGTTCTGTCTATGGACGCTTTCACAGCACAGCAAGAGTAGTCTGACAGAGACCTTCGTGACAAAGCTTAAAATGTTTACGACCTGGTACTTAACGAAAAAATTAGTCCATCCTTGGTTTAAACCAATTAGACTAACATCCTTCTTTAATTGGTTGAGGGATGGGCAGAAGAAACCCAGGCATAAGCAAAGCATCATGCTATTCCCCCAAGGCTATAGTGACTACTTCCACTTGGTCCAGAAGGAAACACACAACTCTTGTTGGGTGCTTGGGAGAAGAGGAGAAACCTCCACTTGTTCTAGATAAAAGGACATGCACACGTGAAGCCCAATGTGCCCTGTGACCACCATTCGACCACCATGAAAAAAGCTAGAGCACAAAAATGCATGCTTGGCGGCCAGAGTCCGAGAACACTTCAATTACATAAACTACTAAAACTTCGCTGTGTTTAAGGTAATCCAAGTTGGGGTAGCAACTGAAAGCTTAGTGAGGAAGAGGTAAAATAATGGTAGTAACCAAAAATTCCAGCCACCCCCACCCCCAATATCATCTCAAAAGTTCAAATGCTGGCCCCACCACATACCAGCTTTGTTACTTTTAGACTACTCTCTCTCTGTGCCTCAGCTTATTCATCTGTAAAGTGGGAAGGACAATAGTACAGGTTCCCCAGGTTGTTGAGAAAATTAGAGATTAAGCAGAAACACTTGACACGGTACATGGCACATAGTGTTTAGTCACTGCTACCATCACCATCACGAAGGTTCATTTCTGGAGAATAAAACTGGTAACACTAGGGCCAGATCAGTAACATTTTAGAAGAAGGCTCTATCAATGTCACTTCTCTTCAAATCCTTCCATTCTAGCAGGTAACATACCCAATACTAATACATCTCGGAAAGTCAAAAGAGTGGAGTCCTTTCTAGATCAGTGAATTCAAATCACAGGAAAGGAAGCCTTGACCACTATCATTCAACATAATCAGAGTACTCTGTACCTGGTAGTATTCGCCATTCATCACTCCATCAACAGCATCTGCAAGACATAAAATTCAGTCTATCAATCAGGGCTGGTCAAACGCTAGGCCAAAGCACTCTGGCATATAATACCATACTATATGCTGCAGGTACTGTAAGTTATACTAATACTATCCCTTGTTAGGCACTAGACAGAACAAATGACTTCCTGTTTAATGAAATCAAGATGTACTTATACACAAATTACTTCACCAAAATGTGGATAAAATCTGCACCAAGCCCCTAGTTCAAAACCTTTTGATCTTCTGGCCTAGAAAGAGAACACATGGACGCCTGGCAGAAGAATCTCAGAGAGCAACACTGTCTATGAAAGTTCTGGAGAAGGCAAAGCAAAAGTGGGCCCTAGAATCATCCAGTCAGCAGTGACATGCAGCTTCATATTCAAACCAAGGTGCTTTCTTGGAGGTAAGAACTCTCCATCCTGTGCCTATAGAGACCCAAGGGTCTACACCTGACTTCTTGCTAATTCCTCCAGACTACCTGGAATTAGCCTGGGCTAGTAAGATTCGGGCATACCAAATTAAATCAGTGTTTGCAAGGACACAAGTTACAAAAAACTCAAAGTATGGTGTACCATCCAGTCTTGCACAATTAATTAATTACTCATGAGCTAAATGAGAAAGTCCATCTGAGAAATGTAAAAAATGCCTTTTCAAGTAAGACCTAGAGACTATCAATCCATATGGTACACAATGGTGGTCCAAGGGTGCCTAGTGGCTCAGTCGGTTAAGCATCAGACTCTTGACCTCAGCTCAGGTCATGACCTCACGGTTCGTGAGGTGGAGCCCCGTGTCGGAGTCTGCGCTGACTGCTGTCTAAATAAATAAATCAAGCAAGCAAGCAAGGAGACATTAAAAAAATTAAAAACAAACAAAACAGTGGTCCACAAGCTAAACATATTTAAAACACAAGTAAGTACTAAGTAAGAAAATTTCCGCAAACCAGGATGTCCAGGTTTTGGGATGAAGGCAGGCAGACGGACGACCTGGCAATGATGGGCCTCTATGAAAGGATGGCCTTTACATACAGCGTGTTCTGGTCTATCTGCCGGGATCCCCGTCCCACTTTTTTTTTAAACTCCATTCTGTATCTCACTAATTCAGTTACCTGATCAGCCTGCATCCTAACCCCTGCCCTGACCCAAAAGCAGTCACTAAGAGGCAATCTACAGACTGAATGCCATTCCTGTGGAGTGGCTGCTCTGCCTTCCTTCAAAAGCCCTGATCCAGGCAACATAAAAATGTAGCTTCCACCTACACATTCTGCACTCTGTAGCTGCTGACCGACCTACATCTACTACCTACTATGAAGGACTTCTATCATGTATCCAATTTTTTCAAACTACAACGACCATCTTGTCGCCTGGGGCGAGAGACGGAAGATAAGAGATGAACCTAAAAGACACAAGAACCCAAGTGAAAACAGTGAACAGTGAAAGAACGCCAAGCAAGCAGTTAGTGTGGGCCACCATCAACAAGGCCCTCAGAAGGCACTCTATGGAAACATCAGGGCTTTCCTCGAGGCCTGGGGCAGGATGCTCTCATCCTTCCCTCAAGAACAGGCAAAGATTTCATTAAACCACTCCTCTGCTCTTGATTCCTAATTAAACCCAACTCGAACTGCCTGTTTTCCAAACCAACCCTAACATTTTTATCCATTCTTTTGGTTCTCTTGCTTCTCCCAATTACTCTCCTCTTGGCTTTGAGTATTGAAAACTTTTATAGATTACTTCCCCAGCACATCTCCCTAAGACACTTTTTAAAAAAAAAAGGAAAAGAGAGAAAGAAGAAAGAAATATATAATTTCAACGCTCAGCCCATCGGCTTCTACCCTTTAGCACACCCATGGCAACTGCTTTCAGTGAAACCAGACTCCTACAACATATGCTTTCTTGGAATTCATTCATCTATGTCCTTAAATTCTCATTTTTTTTAGTATGAAAGAAACTATTGTTTCCAAGGTGCCAGGCACCATGTCCAACATTTTATACACGTTAAGTTTTAATCCTTACAATAAACCTAGATGTATCAGCCCTTCACAAATGACCTGAAAATAGGTGTAGGGTTCCCTGAAAGATAAGGTGTTCTTGAAGGGGCAAATAATTAATGACAGTATTTTCTCTCTTGATTTTTTAAGATATGTAAGAAAAAATAATAAATGCATGTTTTATGAGATAATCAGCTTTTCAAAAGTGGTGCAATACCTCAGCAGGCCAGGAAGTCAGAGGAAAGATCATCTGATACATGAATACAAACAGCCAGGATCTAAGCATTTACCTACCTTCATGGATTTTGATCTATGTTTCAACGGCTGGTTATGGTTCTTGCTTATTTCAACATAGTTCTCATATTTTTTAATAAAGCTTGATTTTTTTTCCCTGTTTTCTTTTAGAGGGAGTGTGCAAGTGGGGGAGAGGGGCGGGGGAGGAGAGAAAGAGAGAGAGAATATCTTTATTTTTTTTTCTTAACATTTATTCATTTTTGAGAGACAGAGAGCATGAGCAGGGAAGGGGCAGAGAGAGGGAGACACAGAATCCGAAGCAGGCTCCAGGCTCCAAGCTATCAGCACACAGAGCCTGACGCGGGGCTCAAACTCACAGACTGTGAGATCATGACCTGAGCCAAAGTCAGACACTCAACCGACTGAGCCACCCAGGCGCCCTGAGAATATCTTAAGTAGGCTTCACACTCAGCACAGAGACTGACACAGGGCTTGATCCCATGACTCTTTGAGATCATGACCTGAGCCCAAATCAAGAGTCAGAAGCTCAAGCCTGCTTAAGATTCTCTCTCAAAATAAATAAGTAAACTTAAATAAATAAATAAACTTAAATATATATATATATATATATATATATATATATAGAATTGCTGGTCACAGGATGTACATTTTTTTAATGTTTGAGAATGAAAGAGACAACATGAGTGGGGGAGGGGCAGAGTGGGGGAGGAGCAGAGAGAGAATCCCAAGCAGGCTCCACACTGTCAGTGCAGAGCCTGATGTGAGGCTTGAACTCACAAAACCGTGAGATCATGACCTGAGCAGAGATAGAGTCAGATGCTCAATGGACTAAGCCACCCAGGTGCCCCAGGATATACATTTTAACTAAACATTGACCAACTGACCCCTTTTAGTCTATTTCTATTACTACCATCAGCACATGACTGCCCCATTTCTCAGACTTTTTTTTTTTCTTTTAATGTTTGAGAGAGCACTAGCACAAGCAGGCTGGTGGGCAAGTAAGCACAAGTGGGGGAGGTGGGGAGAGGGAAAGGGGGG